TTGACCTTTACAACCAATGAAGTGGTAGAGCAACATGGACAGAGAACTGTCTGAAGTTAAGCTTTTGTCATCTAAATTTGAGACACAAATGGTAGCATACAAAGAGAAGGCAGCCTGCTTCGTGGTGGTGTTTCTTCTGCTTTGAGTCAGAGGGAAGGCACATTTCCCAGATCATTCAGATGCAAAGAATGCAATACCAGCTTTTAAAAATTTTATCATTCACCAGCTCTCTGTATCCATCAGCACAATGTTCAAGCTTTGTAGTGCTCTCCGTGAAAGGTCAAGTGAAAGCCTTGGAAGTTGGTGACATCTGCATCTGTACTCTTCACGATTTACATGGACTAGAATGAGAACTTTTGAGTCTGCCCCACCAAAACAAGTAAACCGTAAACTCTCGGGCAGAAAACGCACAGCGCAGGTTAACATAAGCAATTATCTTGAGAAAATTACCCTTTCTCTCCAGACCATAGTAGTACTTTAAAAAATTACACCAAATTTGTGAAAGGAAAAGCAGGAGGGAATCAAGCCAAGGACACAATTTCTAAAGTGAAGGAAGTTCAGTCATTTCTCTGCTCCTCCAACTACAACTTACACACTCCCCCCTGTGGTATTTATGGTTTGCATTTGGGGTGTGAAACAGCTGATGATTTCCACATTCCTCTTTTGGGGGAAGATCTCTTTTTAAGAGTTAACTCATTGGCCAATTATAAATAGGTGTAAAGAGGTAAAGAAATAGCTTTTTGGAAAGCTAGATCATGCAAACTTCAATTTATACTTGTGAGAAGTTTGCCACATTCATGTGAGACAAGATGTCCTGCAGCTGTCTTCCTGCCGTTTCAAAAAGTAAAGGCAGAATTTTACAAAGCTCTGAAATACTTTCCTCAAAAGAACCGGGTTCATTATAAGTTAGGTCGTTTCCTTAAATACTGCCTAACTTCACTGCATGAGCCTTTCACCACTGGGTATTTGAAGCATTCGGAGTACTAACCTAAAGAACTACTCTTCCCTAATTTCCTCAAGCACTCAGGCCCTGACAAAGCAAGATGTTCAAAAAGCAGGATTTTACAACAGTTCTACCCACAGCACGCTTCTCAGTGAGCTTGCATCTCGGCCCACAACGCTCTGCAAGTGCTGTGTCAGAGCCTCAGCAGCCTCAGGTTTCCGAAGTGGCACTGAACTCCACCATGGTAAACACAGCTGCCCCTGTAACCTTCAATTGCCCAGAACCTGCTGAAGAAAACCACCTTTTACCATCTTTTGATATGGTTCCTCAATACTGGTAAGAAAGCTAATTCCAAAGATGATCAACAATGCTTATGTTTTTATACAGCATATTATTTCCTTAGGATTTATCAATCCTAGATCTGACAAAATTTGAAATGGGCTTACTATATATTAACCTCTGTAATACAACCTGACCCACAAATACTACACATTTTAGGGAGAAAAGTTACCAAGTGATTCTCAAGGGACAATGCATAATTTTACTCTCACTACTGGAGGGAAGGGAGCGATCACCTAATAGAGGCCAGGAACACTGATGAACACCCTTACAATGCACAGGACGGTTCACCACAACAAAAAGTTATCAAGCAAAAAATGTCCACAGTATTTAGGTTGAGAAATCCTGCTTTAAAGTAAAGCTCTGTATTAGATGGTTAGGTCTCACCAAATGAGAATCTCAAAGTGTAGAAAATTCTCCCCTAGCCATTTTTTCCTCACAGCCAAAAAAAAATGTGAGATTATGACCTGCCAAAGTAGTATTCACAAATAAGGATCCTAAGACACAGTGTACAAGTTACTGATCCAGAACTAAGGTTTGGGCAGCTCTGATTAAATCACACTTCTGGGGTGTAGAAAACGAGGAGAAAAATGAAGTCAACCATCTAGTATAAACTTCAGTCCTCAAGAATTAGTAAATTTGGACTTGTAATATTATTAAAAGTTCAAGATTGTTCCTGTAACAAATTGTAGGTCACTCTTCATTCAAGCTGAAAGAGAACAGTGTCCCTACAAACTTCCACAAATAAATAAAATCTTTAAAAAAAACAACCAAAAAACACAGGGCGCCTGGGTAGCAGTCTCTTAAGCATCTGACTCTTGGTTTCAGCTCAGGTCATGATCTCAGGGTCCTGGGATTGCACCCCCCAGTCAGGCTCCACTCAGGTTCCACACTGCGTGGAGCCTGCTTAAGGTTCTCTCTCTCCCTCCCCCTCTGTCCCTCCCACTCATGCTGTCTCCGAAATAAAAATCCTTAAATAAGTAAAATAAAAACAACTAGTTGTAAACCAGAGCAGCACCATAAACATTAATGACTGGCTGAGGAGACCCCATTCAACCAAATTCCACATAACCAACTACTTAAGGGCCAAGCTGTAATGGCAGTAGACGGGGAGGAATATCACCACAGCTTTTGTGTGTTAAACTTAACTACACTCTAGTAGCAATTGATCATTAAAAAAAAAAGTCCAAGAGGCAATCAGGACCCACAATTCAATTTACCATAGGTTTGCTAGACTAACAGGAATGAGACTCATCAACTTAGAAAGATACAAAATGACACTCTAAGTAGAAACTCAAAAACATGCTGCCCACCTATTTTAATGAATTTTTGGCAAAGGGAAGGCCCAGAAAGCCTAGAAAAGCACAAAATGACTGAAGGCCAGGGTAACTAATTTGTAAGAACAAGGTGCTGCATAATCTCCAATTATTTTCGCCTATCCATGAAAAACTCCAAGACACCAGAGAACTCTGGAGGAATGGGGAATCTCAGTACTAGTTTATCATGACAATAAGGCCTAAAATGGTGTTAATATTTTAACCCTTTCAGGAGCTAGACTGGGTAAAACCTTACTTTTCTAAAGATCAAAATACAATCTTTCCTATCACTAAAGGTGGAGTTAAAAAAAACAAAATTAATCATGTATCTCTTTTCCTCAGCTGCTTTCTGGGAAAGGAGACAAATCCCAACACCCTCAACTAACGGATGTAACTAAACGGAAATATCAGGCTACCAGATACAAACCAATACTCCTTTTAGTTTTGCTGAACAAGCTGAAAAACTTCTTGCTGCATGAGCATTCAAAATCCTCAAGAGTCAATTACGTTCCCTACTTTACTAGTGGATCTAAACCCCATGAACCCTTATCCTCATGTAAATCCCTAAGTGGGAGGTTTACACTTAAAACATTTTCTGTAAAAATGTAAAATACTTCACTTGACTAAAAGCTATATTATGGCAAGAAAATAGTTTGGCCAAGATTTGACTTCCTGTTATTTCACATTTGTCCCAAACTCCCTTTTGCTTAACAGTGAAAACCACCTATAGTCAATGCGTGGCACAGGGCTAGCATCACAGACATAAGAAAGCAAAATGAGGGTGCTTGGGTGGCTCAGCCGGTTAAGCGTCTGCCTTCGGCTCAGGTCATGATCCCAGGGTCCCGGTGAATCCCACACTGGGCTCCCTGCTCAGCAGGGAGTCTGTTCACCTTCTACCTCTGCCCCTCTCCCTGCCTGTGGCTTTCTCAAATAAATAAAATCTTAAAAAAGGGTAAAACAAAGCCATGAGTTAGAGTAGTATTTTATTAAGTTTTTTTATTTCCTGATTTCTGTAACTTAATAATGCTGTATAATCCTTTCCTGTATCCGCTAAAACTGGCAGGGAATAGCCTTTATAATCCTCCATGGAGTTCAGAGTGGTGGGAAAATTACTTTAAAAGCCCGCTACAATATAGTGCAGTAACATAAAAAGGTCAGTTGAAGGAGTTAAGTCCTTTTAAATAGCTGTATAAAACAGATTCTGGATCAAGAGATGAGGTACCAGATGGGGGGGCTCGTCAAATTGCTGTCAGAATTCCTATTCAGCATCTAAACTTCTATAGAGAAAACTATGTCTATAGTATTCTAAAACGAATCATGATCAAGCTCCCACTTTTAGTTAAAAAAAACAAAAAACACTTCAACTCTCAAAAAATAAAAAATACCCCAATCAAGAACCCTACCTCACAAAGTTGCATTTCAATAACTAACGCAGCAATGATACCCTTGTTGGAAGAATCCAGCTAGCTGTGTGTTAACTTCGGTACCTCCTAGATGAAAAAAAGTCTCCAGACACGTGCTGTGTGTGGATCAAAGGCTGCCTTTGACTTCTAAGTAGACGGAACTCTGTAAGATGCCCTCCAGGTTACTTACGCTTGAGAGAGCTTTGTATTCTTAAATTTTATTTTCTGTCAGAAAAACTTTCACGGTGATGATTCTGCACATAACCTTGTGGCTCGAACCCACCTCTATGAATTGCGAAACTAACAAGGGTAAACGACCAATGAAAGATAACCTGAACTTACTGCATTAAGTTTCTAGACCTCAAGATTTAAGGAACCTAGGGCTAGCTTACATAAACACGCAAGTTTTTGGAAAGCAAAACTTAAGTTTAACAGGTATTTGAGTACCTACTAAAAATGACAAAATTCCCGCAGTGACGCATTTGGCGTTTATAAAGTTCTAAACAACATGCTTCAGATTTGACTTGATGGAATTTCCTCAGTATATGGGCCAAAACGGGGGGGGGGGGTGCAGTTCGAAGGCAACAAAACCAAAATATACCATTTACTCCATGTCAAGTGGATTTCACGTTCACCGTCAAATCCTTACAAAGCCAGAGTTCTCACAACTTTTTACGTGAAAGTACTTTCTCGAGTCTCCAGAAAGAAGCTCCAGAGACTCGCCGCGCGCCCTCGGTACCGGACACGCCGACGCGTGCTACCAGGACCGGCCCCGCGACGCTTGCTCTCGCCTTGGGTCCGCAGCCCTCAAAGAGGAGGGAGCAAAGGGCACAAGGGGTCCGGCGGGTGTCTCCGCGTGGCGGGGGGCGGGGGGGGGGGGGATTTCGCGGGGAAACAGAGCTGCAGGAGTGGCCCCTGAGGAATAGGGGAAGGAATGTGGGGCTCCGGGAGGTCGGCGGGGCCTCCCGTCCTGGAGCATGAGGGCGAGGAGGGCCTCACCTTGCTGCGGTCCTCCTCCTGCTGCTGCAGCAACTCGGGAACCGCGGCCATGGCGACGCGGGCCTCGAGCGGCGGCCTTCTGGCTGTGCGAGGAAAGAAGAGGCTGGGCCGCCGCCGCCTCCGGGGCGCCTCTGAGGGGCGGCCGCGGCCCCGCCTCCGCCAGCCTCCCTGCCCGACGGCGGCGGGAGGCCTCCGGATTCCGCCACCATCCCAGCAGCCCCGGGAAAGGCCAGCGGCGCGCCACGTGCTCCCCCAGAGCGGCCTCCCCCGTCCCCGCTGCCGTCCATCTTGGAGCCGGGCAAAAAAGCTACGCGTGGCCTACCCTCGCTCCGGGCCACGCGGAAACGGCCGATCGCAGGGCCGCGACAAGGACTCGGAGCAACGAGTACTCTCAACAACGCCCGTCTCAAGAAATCCCGCGCTCTCGTGCGGGGCAATTTATTACTCAGCCAGAGTCCAAGATGGCGACAGGCTGTGACGTAAACAAGATATCGTGAGAGCGTAAGGGCGCGATTTGGAGGAGCCCGCGCTAACGCCCGAGGGGAGGGACTCCCCAAGGATCTCGGGAGTGTCTGTAGCAGCGAAGGAGAGGTTAGCGGCGCCGCAATGCATGCCGGGACCACCGCCCCTTAGGCGGGGCCTAACTCGAGATCAGAGCGCGGGACCGAGGAAAGTACGGGTCCCGAGAGGTTGTCGGCGCTCTGGCAGTTGAGTGAAGTCTGGTGGCTCCTGAGGTATCTATCCGGGCCGTGAGCTGGGCTTCTATTTAAGCCATCTCTTCCTAATCCTGACTCCCACACCAGGGGCCCCAGCCGTCCTGTCCCCACCCTGTTTCCCCACGTATGGCGGAGCGGGAGGCCCCCTTCTGGGGATCACGATGATGGGCCCCGCTGACCACTGCTTACCCGCTCTTTCCTGGTGGGACCCTTCAGAAGCTCAATTTCCACGTCTGTAAAACGGTGTCGCAGAAGTAACCACCTTAAAGGGTGTGAGAGTTTAGTGAGAAGTCTTCTCCTGGAATACTTAGCAGGGAGCCTGGTATCTAGGAATCGGGGGTTCACCGTGACCGTCGTGGCCGGTATAGGACGAGTTGTAGCGTTCTGTTTTTCTGTCTCACACATGCCTCCCCTCCTAGGCTTCCCAATTCTTCGGATTGAATACTGGGGACGTCTTGCCCCAAGCTGTACTATTTCACATTTAACAAGTGCTGGTCGTTCTGGCTATTAAAGAGAGTCTTTCTTTGGAAATAGCTTTGTCCAAACATGTCGAAAAAGCTTAATGGAATGCAGGTTAATGCGCCTTATCGTACTGATGCAGCTTACATTTTAGCCGTTCAAATATTTAATACATTGGTATCTAACTCCACTTTTCTCTTTACTAGGAGTGCAAAAATAAAAGGCCCTCAACATTGCAAGTAGCCTAGAGGGAAGTGAGAAAGCATCTAAAAATGAAGGCTTTTCAGACCATCTGCAGACAGCTCAGAAGTTCAAAGGGGTTTTCTCTAGACCCAACCGCCCATGTGGATTTTTCCACTTCCTCTTACTCTTGTAGCCGGAAGAAAAAAGTGAACCCTTATAAAGAAGTAGACCAAGAAAAGTACTCTGATTTAGTACAGTCTGTCTTGTCATCCAGAGGCCTTGCTCAGACTCCAGAATCATTGTTTGAGGAAGATAATTTACTCTATGGACCTGTGAGTAAGTGTAAGCCCCAAAAGCAAGATGAGGAAGCAAAAGCTCCACGAAACTGGTGTCCTCTCTTAATTCCGGAGAGAAGCGTAAAACCAAATGCAACAAGCATTCCTACGATTCCTTTGAGAATCCCTTTGCAGAGAAATACCATACCAAGTGTGACCAAGATCCTTCAGCAGACCATGACATCAGAACAGATTTTCTACTTGGAGAGGTGGAAACAGCGGATGATTCTGGAACTGGGAGAGGATGGCTTTGCCGAATATTCTTCAAGTAATTTTCTCAATCCTGGTTCTGTATGGTTACTGTGTTTTCTAGAATATAGAGCAGTGTCAAAAGAGTGAGGGTGTTTTTGACCTGAACTAGTGAGGCACTGCTTTCAAGTGATAATTAGCATCAAATAGCAGTTTATGTGTATTAACTCAATCATCATAACAACCCTATGCAGCATATATACTATTATTCTCATTTCACAGATGAAACTGAAGCACAGAGAACAAGTAGTTTGGCTAAATGATGTAGGAAATTTTCATAAGCTACAAACTTAAGTATTAAAGTTGCCTGTTTTCTTTGATTAAGGAAAAGAATCAGTCACCTGATAATGGAATTCTGTTTGCTAGGCATTCTATTCAGAATGTAGTAAATACCCCTTGCTGTACTTATCCTTATTGACATGTAAATTTAAGACTTGGAGTAAACTGGAACACATGATTTGTATTTAGATTTTAGTAAATTGAGATAATCTGATGCTCTTAATTAGTAACTAAGAATAAATAAACTTTAGCTTTCAACTCCTAATTTACTAACTTCTTAGGTGAGAAGAATAGCTTCCTTAAAACAGGCTCCATTCAGAAGCAAGGTGAAGGACCATTGGCACAGGTGAATTAGCTGGTCCCCATCAGGATCATATAGTTGTCTTTTATTAAAGCTAGGTTTTTTGTTATCATTCCTTAGCCCGTGCTTCCCTAGTGGTTGGTAGAGAACACTTTTAAGAGTAATGCACTTATTTTGTGGCATCTTAGAAAAAACTGTGTGTGGGTAACATTAAACGTGTCACATATATTAAGTATATAGACAGCACCTGGATATGGCAAAGGTCAAGGTCCTCATCCTTTAGAACATTCCTCAGCTGTGTGGGGGGAGGAATATATGCGGGAATTAACTGCCTTTAGGTAATAAGTAACAACACTAAGCTATTTGCTTTCTAAATAAGCAACATAAAATGAAATTTTTTAATGGCATCTTATGTTTTTTATTTGTACCACTAGAATTTAGAATAGACGTTGTTTCCTCAGGGGAAGTTGTTTATTTTCCTTAAACCTAGAATGTCATAGTTTGTGGGGATCCTGAAATCACTGATAAGTAAAGGCAGAAACCTGCTAGGAGTTTGGGAACCTAGGACTTGTAGCCCTTGGCACAAAGTAAAAAAGTACTCTTGGAGGCCTCCTTGATAAAGGAAAGGAATTTCTGTCGGGAATGTGAAGGTGCTCCACTATCCCAAACAGAGATAAAACTATGGTTGTTTTCCATATAATCAGCTTTGTTGATCTAGATTATTACTCTGATGTGTTTCTCAGTTAATTCAGGATCAATTTTAAGAAACAAGCAGAATCACTTTTTTCTCATAAGGGGCAATCACAGGATTAGTGTCATGCTCCCCCCTACCAACAAAAAAGAAGGGAAGAAAAGAAGGAAAAAGCATGTCATTGCGCACTAAATTGATTAATGGGTCAGGAGAGGCAGTTTTTTAAAATACTGTACTGATAAATTCCTTTCCGCCTGCTCTTCCAAAGGCTAGAGCACAGAGATGTGCCCAGAGCTGGCATTCTCCACATTTGGTCAATTTCTCAAGCATCGGTTTACCTTCTGAAGATTGCCAAGGATAAGAAAGTCTGCCTTGGATTTATATTTAAGTGTTGATCATAGTGGAAAGGGATGGGGTTTATTTTTTCCAGTTTATTGCTGTAGTGACTTTTTAATCTTAAAATATTATCCATCCTGCCAGTTTATCAGTCAGAATCTTGGAGACTCATAGATTTTTTTTTCTTTAAATGCACTTTACATACTGGGACTTGAAAACATTTCATTTTCATTGGTCAATTTAATTTACTGAATGAATATTCTGACTTGATGCTATCTGCAATAAATCTCGTGCTTTTTAAAATTTACTTAGATAGGGGTACCTGGGTGGCTCAGTCAGTTAAAGGTCTATCTTTGGCTCAGGTCATGATCCCAGAATCCTGGGATCAAGTCCCGTATCAGGCTCCCTCCTCAGTGGGGAGTGTGCTTCTCCCTCTGCCCCTTCCTCCTGCTCATGCTTGCTCTCTCAAATAAATAAAATCTTTAAAACATAATAAAATTTACTTAGACAAATTCAATCATATTTAATGTTCTGAGCCTTACAATCTAGGGGATCCTATAATCTAGATTCCCATGTTTGCTGCCTCTTTTTAATTTTTTTAATTTTTTTAATTTTTTTGTTTGTTTGCTGCCTCTTTTATGTGAAGAACCCAGCCAAGGGTTAAGTCTGCAGTGGAAAATGAATTGTTTATTTGCTTGGCAATTGATAAAGCAGTTTGTTTTCTTCCTGTTTTGACCAAGCTTCATTAAGCTTGTCTATAGATGAATGCTGTACTTTTACCTAGATTTTAATTCCATCTGTCTTAAAAATCTTGTAGGCCTTTCATATGCTAATAAGTCCAATTGAACCGAGTAAATTTGGAGTGTAATAGCTCAGTTCTTCAGGTGAATTTCATTTAACTCTCCAAGTAATTTCCCAGAAGTGATTCCATTTTTTGACAGTGGTAGAATTGACCTTTCAAAATCCTGGTAAAATAGTATTTGACAAATGTAAAATATGGTTTAAAATTACCTTATTAGATCAAATTTTCCTCATTTTCTATGGGTCTATCTCTATGCATATATATTTCCTACTCTGCTTCTGTGTATATCTAAATGATGGTCCCTAATTTTGCCTTACTCTGTTGTATGATGGACTGGAATTGAACATGGACTCTGGTGCCAGGCTGCTAGTCTACCTTTTTTGCCTTGGGCCAAATTAACAGCATTGTGTAGGCCTCATTCATTAAGGTGGGGGTAATGATTCTTATCTTGCTGGGTTGTTGTGTTTGAAAGTTAAATAATATTTTGAAAGCGCCAAGGCCACTGCTTAGCACAATGCCTCCTCTTTGTTTCCTTCCCTTATCAAGGAGGAAGTGAATTTGTACAATTTCTTGGATTTGTTTGTGTTTTCTTAAAAGTGTGTGAGGATATACAGATATCAAATCGTTATGTTGGATATCTGAAACGAATACAATCTCAATTATACATCAAATTTTTCTTAAGCATATGAGGAAAATTTTCAGGACAGAGCAACTGTCTTAAGCTGTTCTAGCCCCCCCAAAAAGTGCAGAAGAGTGTTACATATTTCCTCTTGCCCCCAAGCCCAAAACATCCAATTTGTTTTTGATTTGTATATGCCTTGATTTTCGTACCTTGCCATTCATTAAGCCTGTTAGTAAAAGGATTCTCCCACCTATATTCATTAATTCAGTGTTGGTTGTAAAAAAAAACTGAACAGAAGTTACTAAAATGGATACTTAAAATCACAGTATGGTACACTAGGTGTGGTCCTATTGCCCCCAGATCTTCAACTGTAGCTTTGGCCTAATTCTACTAGAAATTCTTTATTTTAATTCATTTTATTGTTCAAACTATTTTAGTTCCTTTGCTTTCCAAAGTGCATTCTTAGATTTCACAAGAGGCTAAAATGTGGTATCTTAGCAGTTGTCACTTAAAGGTAACTTAATATTATTTCTAATTTTATTGTTCAGAGGTTTTTAAGTATTTGTTTTTTAGTACTAGCTTTGTTCTTGTTTGTTTTTCTTTTTCCCCTGATTTTCTTTTCAGATATATTTTTACAAGGGAAACGGTTCCATAAAGCCTTGGAAAGCATACTTGCACCCCAAGGTGACTTGAAAGAGAGAGATGAGAATCTCGAATCTGGATATATCGAAAGTGTCCAGCATATCCTGAAAGATGTCAGTGGAGTGCGAGCTCTTGAAAGCGCTGTTCAGCATGAGACGTTAAAGTATGTAGGTCTACTGGACTGTGTGGCTGAATATCAGTAAGTATTAGATTTTTTTTTTCTATCACAGTGTGGAGATAAAGTAATGCAGGTCTGTCAAACAGTTTTTTCCTCTGAACTCCTGCTTCAGGGTGCAGCCCTGTGAAGTCAAAACCTCTATGATACATAAAAGAATTGGGTATGGGGCAGGAGGTAAGGACAGATACAGGAGGAAGAGCCTCATAATTCTTGTAAATCTGTGTTCCAGAATCAAAGTGTTTGGTGGAGAAAAGGTATAATTTTTCAATATCCAGCATGTTCCTCCTTCCCTACCCCCAAGCAAGCTACTAACCACTAGATCCAATTTGATGGGGCACCCAAGTGGCTCAGTCGGTTAAGCGTCCAACTCTTGTTTTTGGCTCAGGTCCTGATCTCAGGGTCATGAGATTGAGCACTGGGTCAGGCTGTGTGCTGAGTGTGGAGTCAGCTTAAGACTCTCTCCCTCTCCCTCTGTCCTTCCCCCTCCCCCCTGCAATTCGCATGCATGCTTTCTCACTCTTTCTCTAAAATAAATAACTCTTAAAAAAAAAAAGATCCACTTTGATTCCTGCATTTTCTTTCCCATTTCCCTAAAAATAGCACCTTGACCTGTTTGCCCTGAAAATCATTTCTTTTTCTGACTTCCAGGCTGTGTTTGACATGGATAGGAACTCTGAGCTTACTAAAGCTTCCTGTGGTTTTTAAATTGCTGCTCTGTTACTGTTTTCCCCATTTACTCCAGATTCCAAAGGGAGATCTAACCTGCAGATACCCCTATTCCAAAAAGATGTGGGCGACCCACAGGATAGGTAAAAACCTGTAACTCTTGGGGCGCCTGGGTGGCTCAGTTGGTTAAGTGACTGCCTTCGGCTTGGGTAATGATCCCGGAGTCCTGGGATGAGTCCCGCATCGGGCTCCCTGCTCAGCAGGGAGTCTGCTTCTCCCTCTTACCCTCCCCCCTCTCATGCTCTCTCTATCTCATTCTCTCTCTCAAATAAATAAGTAAAATCTTTAAAAAAAAAAACAAAACAAAACCTGGAACTCCAGTCAAAATTTAAATTTTAAAAAAAATTGACAGAATATTCATTAGTCTGGAAACTGTTCAGGCCACCCAGCAGTTTTGTGCCATAATTGCCTCATATCTGAGAAGAGCCCTGTGTGCCTAGAAATTTAATAGGCTATTTTTAGCTGCCCTTTAGTTAACCCAGGTAGCCATACAATCAATTCTACCCAAGGCCTTCCAGAAGTTCCTGACACCATGGGTACCTGGGGGGCTCAGTCAATTGGGCATCTACCTTCGGCTGAGGTAATGATCCCAGAGTCCCTAGATAGAATCCTGAGCAGAGAGTCTGCTTTTCCCTCTAACCCTCCCCTCTCTCGTGCTTTCTCTCTCTTTCTCAAATGAATAAGTAAAATCTTAAAAAAAAAATAGTTCCTGACACCGAACACTTCACAGTGATGTTCACAGTACTGATGTTTGTTTTCTGCTCTTTAGGTGGAAAGCATCAACACTGAGAATATGCGCATTGAATATTTTTGAAAGTTAAGGTTTCAGAAATTTTAAAAACATTTTTAATAGGTAATATATGTGTTTGGTTAACCCAAGCTACTAAAAGAAGTCTCCCATCTCCACTTTTTCTTTAAAAAAGGTTTTTAATGTGGTAAAATATACGTAACATAAAATTTACCATAAACTTCACCATTTTTAAGTATACAGTTGAGTATCATTAAATACATTCATAATGTTGTACAGCCGTCAACACCATCCATCTCCAGGACATGTCATCTTATAAAACTGAAATTCTGTGCCCATTAAACAGTAATCACTGTACTCTCCCCTACTTCCAGCCCCTGGCAACCACATTCTACTTTCAGTCTCTATGAATTTATTCTTTCGTACCTCATGTGGGTAGAATCAAAGTATTTGTCTTTTTGTGACTGACTTATCTTTATCCTTGCACTTTACACACTTTTTTTTAAAGTTTTTCCTGTAAGCCAATTTGTTTATTTTGTTGTTGTTGCCTGTGCCTTTGGTGTCACATCCAGTAAATCACCACCAAATCCAGTGTCATTAAGCTTGGACCCTATGTTTTCTTCTAAGAGTTTTATGTAGTTTTAAATCTTACCTTTAGGTCATGGATCCATTTTGAGTTAATTTCTGTATATGGTGTTGGGTAAGAGTCCAACTTCATTCTTTTGCATGTGGATGTCCAGTTTCCCCAGTACCATGTGTTGAAAAGACTGTCCTTTCCTCACTGAACAGACTTGGCACCTTTGTCAAAAATCATGTGTATGTGAGGGTTTATTTCTGGGCTGCTTATTCATTTCCATCGGTCTATGTGTCTGTCTTTAAACAAGTACCATACTATTTTAATTATTAGAACTTTGTAGTAAGCTTTGAAATTAGCAAGTGTGAGTCCTCCACAGTTTTGTTCTTTTTCAAGTTTGTTTTGGCTTTTCAGAGTCCCTTGAGATTCCATGTGGATTTTAGGATGGGTTTTCAATTTGTCCAAAAATCGTCATTGAGATTTTTATAGATTGTATTAAATTTGTAGATCACTTTGGGTAATATGAACATCTTAACAATATTAAATCTTCCAATCCGTGAACCTGGGGCATATTTCCATTTCAGTCTTTAATTTCTTTCAGTAATGATTTGCAGTTTTCATTGTGCAAGTCTTTAGTCTCCCTGGTTAATTCCCAAGTATTTTATTCATTTTGATGTTATTATATGGAATTGTTTTTGTAATTTCCTTTCCATATTGTTCATTGTTTATGTATAGAAATGCTCTTGAATTGTGTGTTGACTTTGTATCCTGCTACTTTGCTGAATTTATTTATATAGTCCTACCAGTTTTTGTGTGGATTCTTTAGAGTTTTTAACATAAAAGATCATTCATCTGTGAACGGAGATAATTTTACTTCTTCCTTTCTAGTTTGGATGCTTTTTTATTTGTTTGTCTTGCCTAGTTGGTCTGGCTAGAACATCCAGATCTGTTGAATAGAAGTGGTGAAAGCAGACATCCTTGCCTTGTTCCTGATCTTAGAGGAAAACCTTCCAGTCTTTCAACATTGAGTATGATGTTTGCTGTGGGCTTTTCATATATGGCTTTTATTATTTTGAGGTAGTTTTTTTTTTCTATCCCTAGCTTGTTGAGTATTTTTTTCATAAAGGGTATTTCATTTTGTCAAATGCTTTTTTTTCATCAATTAAGATGATTTTAAGTGGTTTCCTTCATTCTGTTAATAAGGTATATCACATTGATTGATTTTTGTGTTAAACCGTCCTTGCATTCCAGAAATAAAGCCCACTTTGTGATGGTGTATAATTCTTTTAATATGTTGCTGAATTTGATTTGCTACTATTTTGTTGAGGAGTTTTGCATCTGTATACATAAGGATTATTATTCTGTAGTTTTCTTGTAGTGTCTTTGTCTAGCTTTGGTATCAGGGTAATGCTAGATTCATAGAATGAATTAAGAAGAGTTCCCTACTTTTCAATTTCTTTGGAAACGTTTTTAGCATTGGTATTAGTTATATAAATATTTGGTGGCATTCACCCATGAAGTTATTGGATAGAGCTTTTAGTTGCCAGGAGATTTTTGATTACTGATGAAATCTCCTTTTTAATTACAGAGCTGTTCAGATACTCTATTTCTTCATGATTTAGTCCTGGTAGGTTTTGTGTTGTTAGGAATTTGTTTATTTCATCTAGGTTATCCAACTTGTTGGCATATGATTTTTCATAGTGCTCTCATCCTTTTTATTCTGTAGAATTAGTAGTAATGTCCCAGTTTCTTTGCTGATTTATGTAATTTGAGTTGTCTTTCTTTTTTTCTAAGTCCATCTAGCTAAATGTTTGTCAATTTTGTTGATCCTTTCAAAAAACCAATGTTTATTTTCATTGATTTTTTTTTCTATTGGTTTTCTATTCTGAATTTCATTTGTCTTTAATCTCTTTTATCTCCTTCTATAAAGGTTTACTTTGGGTTTTTTTTTTTTTTTGGTTCCTTAAGTTGTAAGATTAGGATGTTGATTTGATTCTTACTTGTTTTTTAATAGAAGTATTTATTGTTGTACAGCTTCCTTAATACTGTTTTCACTGTGTCCTGTAAGTTTTGGTATGCTGTGTTTTCATTTTTATTCATCTCTAAGTATCTTCTAATTTCCCCTGTGATTTCTTCTTTGGTTGATTATGTTAATTTCCACACATTAGTGATTTTTTTCCAATTTTACTTCTTTTATTGATTTCTAACTTCATCTTGTGATTGGAGAAGATACTTTGTGTGATATCTGTCTTTTTAAATATATTGAGACTTAATTTATGGCCTAATAAATGGTTTGTCCTGGAAAGTGTCCTGTGTGTGCTTGAAAAGGTGTGTATTCTGTTGTTGGGTAGAGAGTACTATATGTCCATTAGATCTAGTTGGTTTATTGTGTTAAGTCCTTTATTTCCTCACTTCCTTCTGTTTGGTTCTATCCATTATTGAAAATAGGTATTGAGGTCTCCAATTATTATTATAGAACTGTATTTCTGGAGCACCTGGCTGGCTCATTTGGAAGAGCATGTGACTATTGATCTCAGGGTCAGAGCCCCATGTTGGATGTAGAGAATACTTAAATAAAAGTTAAAAAAAAAACAACTGTATTTCTCCCTTCAATTTTGTCAGTTTTTGCTTCATATATTTTGCTAGTCTGTTACTAGGTGCACAAATGTCTATAATTGTTATATCTTCGGGCACCTGGGTGACTCAGTCGTTGAGCGTCTGCCTTCGGCTCGGGTTATGATCCCAGGGTCCTGGGATCAAGCCCCGCATCGGGCTCCCTGCTCGGCGGGGGGCCTGCTTCTCCCTCTCCCACTCCCCCTGCTCATGTTCCTGCTCTCGCTGTGTCTCTCTGTCAAATAAATGGATAAAATCTTTAAAAAAAAAAAATTGTTATATCTTCTTGATGTATCGAACCTTTTATTAATATATAATGTCTTTCTTTGTCTGGTCTTTTTCTATTTAAAGACTATTTTG